GATCATCTTCGTGGCCTCCTCTGGACTTGCTCCAGTAGCTCCATGTCCTTATCCAATTAACTTGGATCCCCACTGTGGTGTCCAGGTTTGCTGAGCGCAGGAGGGACACAGCGTGGGACAGGCACAGAGCATGTTCGGGGGACGGAGGGAGCCCCAGGACATGGCCTGTCCTGACTGCTGGCGCTGCTACAACCCAGGCAACCAGAAATGTTTCTTGCTCAGAAAGGCCTCTCGGGCAGCTGCCATCTCCTGTGAGCTGCAGGCTGCGTTACGTCCCTCTACCAGCCCTGGTTCCCACCAGAACCACCTGGGTCCCTCTGGCAAAGCCCCAGGAGCACACCAAGGTACTGGCAGAAAAGGTCCTCTTGGAGCCAGCACTCCCCCCTACACCGACGCCGTCTGCCAGCCGGGCCGAGAGGAGCTCTGCGGGAAGGAAAGCAGGGAGGTTTCCGAGCAAAAACCTCTAACAAAGCCCAGGACACGCAGTCAGGAACCTCGTCCCATGCCCCAACTGCGCTTCCCCACGGCCAGTCTTAAACCCAGTGCTCCTGTTCCAGCGCCTTCTGTTCCTGCCACGCTCCTTCCTTTCACTGCTGTGCTCCAGAGGGCAGGTTCGGCCCCTCTCAGCCTGCACCCTCCTCGGCTCAACAAGCCAAGTGCTCAACTCCTCTCGCATCAGGGTCTCTCTGCCCCCACCGGCGCTGCGCCGCTCCGACGGCGGTTTCGATGCATGTTTACGTGAGCGACCGGAACCAGGCGGAGGAGTCTGGCCTGCCCACACCCCCCCCACAGCGAACAGCTTTTTGGCTTCTCTACAACCATGCTGCCCAGCACAGGAAGTACCACTAGCATGGATTTCTTAGGACCTTTTTCTCATTCTTTAGACATTGAAGGAAATGTTAAACAAGTGTCCAGCTGCTCCGTGAGGAATGCTGCCCTTGGCCGCCTTCCATCCCACTCCTCCTTCCAGCACAGACTGCCTCTCCTTCCCAACCACTCTCTGACTGCTCACCATCTGTCTGCTCATAGAATCCTCACAGCATCAGATACCCTCAAATCTGCATTTTCTCTGGACTTTGCTCTCCACCCTGGCTGCGTCCTACGAAACTCCTCAAGAAGCCATACCCGTACCCAGACACGCTGCCGGGCACGGCACGGCCAGGCGTGTTTTGTGAGCAGCTGTGCTCACGCTGCTGGTACCCCAGGCTCGCTGGGCACAAGCAAGCTCTGGTGAGAAGCT